TGATTGATTATAGCCTTCCCTCCCGACCGGCACAATCAGTCGACCACCAATCTTCAGCTGATCCACCAACTGATCCAAAAAGGCATTAATAATGGTTAGCATTAAAACTAAACTAACGTACGGCTTGTGGAAGAGTGGGAGCGGCAGCGCCTGTATGTCAAATGCAATTACGGTTTAGTTTTAAACAATATCGCAACACATGTCTCAATCAAACTCAATACATACCGACATGAATGGCATCATAAGGAGCTTCCTGTGGATAACCCTGTCTTCCGTCGCCAACTAATTTTCAGACATAATTTAAGTAAACTTTTTAAATAAATATATTGTGAATTTTCTAACCAATCATTTTGACTCTCTTTGACTCAATAAGGTTTGGCTGATCTCTCCTTATATTTTCGACCGACAAATTGACGAGTTCTGGCATGTGATCGATCCCAACAGCCATTCCTCTCTGACCCACCTTTCAGTCCAATAAACAAACAATTTAACAAAACTCGGAACATATGACATAATATATACCATTAATGCCATACAAGCAGTCAAATAACCAGAACCTGAGCCCACGTCCAGTGCTTTCGCCCCTTTGAATACAAAATAAATTCAATTTAAATAATTATAAGTAATGGAAAAGTTTGAGAAACAAACATACCATCAGTTAAGTGATCCTTAAGAAGTTGGAGAGCGTGTGCGTGCTTTCAATACATGCAACCATACAATCAAATCAATTCAGTTAATAAATAGTTAACCACTGAATGGCATACCATATGAGGGGCACTAATAGTGACCGCAAAACCGATTCCTTGCGGAGAATCCATATACGGGTTATTCGGGCAATAGTTAGCCCGATCTACACCTGTCATCGCCCGCTCCACTCCATTGTCTTTTATGATACCATTCTCTGCAACACAACAACACATCCATCACAACANTCATCGCCCGCTCCACTCCATTGTCTTTTATGATACCATTCTCTGCAACACAACAACACATCCGTCACAACAATAGTCATCACATGATTGTCATTACTCTTCAGATTTTGAATCATCTCTGCGTTAGTCCTTCCGTGAGATCTCCACGCCATCAATGAAAAGCTAATGGAGACCACAATTGGCGGTAATGTCCAATAAATTGATGGCTTTCTTAATGAACCTATGGTTAAGATATGGATGCAATGGTTAACTCACTTCAGTTCATCACTTGTTCACCAAAAAACTTGTTTACAAATAAATGTTGTTTTCGTTTTCAAATTCAAATCATTGGACGCTTTCATCACGAGTTGTCTCACGTGTTAGACATTCAACACTAATGAGCGCTCATTTCAAACCATTTCAGTGTTAATGCATTTGCAATACAAACCAAATGAACGCAATTGTTATGATTATTAATTGAAATCATTTAATAAATGATTAGACAACTAATTGTTGATACATAATAGTGCACACAATGCATAATGGCTTTCAAATGTATTGACAAATCAGATAACTTGTAATGTCATTAAACAGAATATTCTGTTATAAGTTAGCAATTAATTGCATTAAATATAAACATTACAAAAAATGAACATTTCTATGAAAATCAAGCATTAATTAGATTAACAAATGTTTATTAATAAATAATTTTTGCAATTTTATTTTTCAATTTTTCAATGCAAACATTAATAACTAGAAATGGAGGCAATCATTGGGCAATTGTTGAGTATTTTGGGCCAATAGAAGCGCTCATTGTATTCCTGATCGAAGACTTCTTCTCTTGTCTCGACAAAGAATCTCAAACAACATGTTGTTTGTGATGGCATTCAACTCATTGAGCGCTTCCTGATGTGCGGCCAATATCTTCCTCTGATTGTCTTTCATCCATAACTTGATCTTAAACTTCAGTTCTTTCATCTCAAACATGAAAGCGATTCTTGCGATTGGCTGCAGATTCTCGACCGTCACTTTGATTTCCTTCAAGTATTCTTCGACAGCTTTAGTCAATGCTTCCAATTGGTAGCGATCGGCCAATCGATACACTTCGGCGATCAGTTCCATGTCCTCACTGTCCAAGAATTCCAGTTGAGTTGTGTATAAGTAGAAGAGCATGGCTTTGAAGGCGTCAACTGTGGTGCCAGTGATGACGACCTCCTTCTCTTTGGATTCAACAAAATCGCCGAAAAGCATGACTCGGAAGACATAACTGTTGAGAGCCAATAGAATACGAATGGCAGGAATCCGGTGGCCGTCGATCACAAACACCACATCACTCACCGATTCGTTCAGAAAGAAGTCCATTTGCGGACAATTCTTCATGTCTTTACCCAATGATCGCCTCTTTGGCGGCGAAGCCTCTGTTTCTTGTTCTTCGGATTTGATTTGGTTTCCAAACATGATTTAACCGTTTAATTGAATTTGTTTGAAATTATTTGATTTAAATAAATAAACCATAATTTAATTCTCGCGACATTTAATTGATATAAACTAATTGTTTTATTAGTTCAATGTATTCACGATTTTAACAATAATTGTTGACTATTGTTATCAATTATTGACTAATCTTTGCATTAATTCATAGTTTGCTGTGAAATACAATTTTGTAATTTCATTGTAAAATCATTGATTGATTTCAAAAGTGAAATGAAGACTCAAATGTTGTTGGGATAAAAATTACTAATTTTATTATAATTGTGTTTTCATATAAGGATTTAATGTTTAATTTAGTTCTCTTTCGATAGCAATAATCAGAAAAAATGTAAAACATGTGAAAAACAATTTATTAATCAATGATGCGATTAATGGCTAAAAATGAAAGTTCGGGCCATATTTCGGGCGATTCCCAAACGAAGAATATCTTCGCGTTGTTTGAGATACTCGATGTCCACATTGGGATCGTGGCAGTGTTGGCCAAAAGTGATCATCTCTTCGAGTGACGCCAAGAGTTGTGACGTTTGTTCAGAATCTAAGACAATGTCTTGTGTCTCCAGAAGTGGTAACGAATCCATCAATAATCGGATTATAAAAAATTTTGGCGCAATATTTGAGACCAAAAGCGAGATCAAGAGTTGGGCCGCACTCTGGAGTTGACAGTCTTTCTTCAACTGATGGAACTCATAATATTTGGCCAAAAACGTCAACCGATCGCTAA